GTTTTCGTTTTATTAGCAAATAAAAAGGGTCAGTTACTTCTGGGACACCCTGAATATGTGAATTGGGGTTAGGTTGAAGATTTGGGTTAGGGTTGGAGGTACGGTTAAGATCAGAGGAGTGTTTATCCACCCTGCAATGTAATGCAATGCGACCTCTATTACAAGGAGACGTTCCTATTCCCATATCCTATCCTAAGTAATTCCGACTAAGGAATTTCAGGAAGGATTTAAAGGAGTACGCAGTATATTTTAGAGTCTCTTTGAGTTTCACATCCTTGCGAGAAGCTGAAAATATTAAACGCCTTAATGAGTTTTAAAGGGAGGCAATCAATAGACAAAGTAATTACTGCTTTCGTCCAAAGGTACTGGTTTTCAAACCTATTGGAGACCCTTATGCTTTATAATCTTCGACTTCCAACCCCAAGTACACGGGTGTTTGGCTCCCGCCTAACTTGTTCTTGTTAATTATGCCAATAAAGACACCCTGCCATTGTTGACAGGCTGAAAAATTATCCTCCTGACTTCGTTCTCTGTTTCCAGGGCGCCAACCTGCGTTCAGCATCCATTGACCGACACTACGGTCAACAAAGTGGGCTGAACACGGATGGAGGTCCGGCGGCAGTCATACTGCGTCGTCCAAATACTGGCACACCAGTGTCCGTCTCAGATACCGGTCGTGCCCTCACCATGTTCTTCCCAACATCATCATCAACTGATCCCGCCACCTCCAGTACAAATTCCACTGTCTTCCGAGACCCCCTGTCTGAGGCAAGTATGTACGATGAGTCCTTGGAGAGCTGCTGCACCACCACCGCAGGCTCTACCCTCCACCGATACAGCACTACCACTCTACAGATGCCTGCACCGTTACGCAGCAATGAGGAGGCTGAAGAGGAGGAGGAAGACGGTGACGGGGACGATGAGGAGAATGAGGGTTATGGCACTGAGGGTGATGCAACCGCCGACTCGGAGGGCGATATCACGTCAGAGAATGTGACTGCAGCTACCGTCTCGGGTCACCTATCGGCGACCGATTCGCTGAAGTCCGGCCGGCATACAATCAGTTCCACCTATGATCGCGCCCTAGCAGGTGCGAAGAGAACCCCCATCGCCGTCTTGACAGCTGAGCGACGATGTGAGTGACATACAACTTATCTTTCTCTTCCATCCCACCTCCCCCGAAAGCTGAGTCTTG